GCAATGCGGTGAGATAGGAAATTAAAGTGAGAATTGCAAACATCAGAGACGGAAAGACCATAGGGTCAATACGATTGTCTGCTGAGTAAATCCAAGAGAAACAGTAAGCGATAAAGACTAATCAGAGTTTTCAGCAAGATGACCAGATATAAGAATTTTTTTAAAAAATGAAAACAACCATATGAAACAGCTTTTAGTCTCATTATAAATCAAATAAATGTGAATTAAAACAATTTTTAAAATTCAGTGGTACAATCTTACAGGAAGTGATTTGGCAATAAGAACTAGAAAAAGATTCATCCTTTGACTTCTCCTGAAACTCTATCCTAAGGAAATATTCTAAGACATATAATACCTGAAGAAGTTTATAGACTATTTTTACAGAAAATTAGTGGGGAAATAATCTTTTGTCCAAAAAGAGAGGGAAGGGATTAGCTAAAGAATCACATATCAACTTAAACAAATGTTGTTTTTATCACTAAAAAATTCTTTGAGTTCTTTGTAACAACTCTGAAAATGTATGAAATAGCAATAAGTGAAAATAAAGACAGTTTTAATGCTTGCTGTCACAACTACATGAAAATGAATTTGGAGAAAAATGTTCCAGGAAGTAAAGTACAGTCAAGAGCTCAGATTCTTTTTTTCTACCCATGCCACATGGCATGTGGGACTTTAGTTCCCTGACCAGGAATTGAACCTTCACTCCCTACATTGGAAGGGTAGAGTCTTAACCACTGGACTGCCAGGGAAGCCACAAGAACTTATACTCTTAAATTGGACGCGTGACTTCAAATCCTGGGGTTACCACTTCTTAGCTGAAAGACTTTGTCCAGATTATCTAATTTGCCTCATTTTTATCACCTGTAAAGAGTTAATCCCTGCAAAGCAACAGGGGTATCGATATAGATACAGTAAAACCACCAACAACTGTTAACTGATGTGAATGCAATGAAGTGCCAGTAGGCACAGTGTTAGGGTAATGAGATTATGTGTTGTTTTCATTCCTGAGGTGAACCATTAGAATCATTCCCATTAAAGTCTGAAAAGAGACTTTCTATATTGTCTTATTGATCATAGGCAATGCGGTGAGATAGGAAATTAAAGTGAGAACTGCAAACATCAGAGACGGAAAGACCATAGGGTCAATACGATTGTCTACTGAGTAAATCCAAGAGAAACAGTAAGCGATAAAGACTAATCAGAGTTTTCAGCAAGATGACGAGATATAAGAATTTTTTTAAAAAATGAAAACAACCATATGAAACAGCTTTTAGTCTCATTATAAATCAAATAAATGTGAATTAAAACAATGCCTTACAAATCATTATTAATTTTTAAAATTCAGTGGTACAATCTTACAGGAAGTAATTTGGCAATAAGAACTAGAAAAAGATTCATCCTTTGACTTCTCCTGAAACTCTATCCTAAGGAAATATTCTAAGACATATAATACATGAAGAAGTTTATAGATTATTTTTACAGAAAATTAGTGGGGAAATAATCTTTTGTCCAAAAAGAGAGGGAAGGGATTAGCTAAAGAATCACATATCAACTTAAACAAATGTTGTTTTTATCACTAAAAAATTCTTTGAGTTCTTTGTAACAACTCTGAAAATGTATGAAATAGCAATAAGTGAAAATAAAGACAGTTTTAATGCTTGCTGTCACAACTACATGAAAATGAATTTGGAGAAAAATGTTCCAGGAAGTAAAGTACAGTCAAGAGCTCAGATTCTTTTTTTCTACCCATGCCACATGGCATGTGGGACTTTAGTTCCCTGACCAGGAATTGAACCTTCACTCCCTACATTGGAAGGGTAGAGTCTTAACCACTGGACTGCCAGGGAAGCCACAAGAACTTATACTCTTAAATTGGACGCGTGACTTCAAATCCTGGGGTTACCACTTCTTAGCTGAAAGACTTTGTCCAGATTATCTAATTTGCCTCATTTTTATCACCTGTAAAGAGTTAATCCCTGCAAAGCAACAGGGGTATCGATATAGATACAGTAAAACCACCAACAACTGTTAACTGATGTGAATGCAATGAAGTGCCAGTAGGCACAGTGTTAGGGTAATGAGATTATGTGTTGTTTTCATTCCTGATTTCTCAATTTTCCATGTTATTATCTTTGTTTTATAACGAAAGTAGATATTTAAATTTTTTTAAGATTTTTTTTGTGTGAACCATTTTTTAAGTCTTTATTGAATTTATTACAATATTCCTTCTGTTTTGTTTTGGTTTTTTGGGCGCAAAGCATGTGAGATCTCAGCTCCCTGCCCAGGGATGGAACCCACATGCCCTATATTGGAAGGCAGCTTATTAACCACCGGAACACCAGGCAAGTCCCAGATATTTTAATATTTACATGTGTATTTTAAAAAGAGCCTCATTTCTAGTCTTAGCTCATCACTCGTCTTGCCTGTGATCCCATTTCCACTCCCTCCTGCCTATCTAGGGTCTGGTTCCGCTCATCACCTCGTTGGAGTTATCTCAAGCTCCCCTCCTGATTCACTGAATAAAGGTGTCCCTAAATGAATCTTTACTCCATTCCCTTCACTGTCACATTTCTTCAGGGGAAAAAAAAAATCACAATACTTTTCTCTAATTCTGATTTCACTCTTCAGTATATTGGAATCTGAATTCTAACAATGTCGCTAGTTCCCTTAACATCCAAAGCAGGTTTACCTTTATTCTATTTCCCCTATCGAAGACATTTTTAACACTGCTGGTCACTTTCTCCTTGAAGTTCTCTTCCCTATCCTTTCACATTTAGAAAGGAGGATGTGAAAGGCAGGAGGAAGCAGGGGTTTTAGAATTGCCTGTATCGGAAACCGGAAGCTGGTCTCGGCTCCTACGTGAAGTCGGGTCTGAGGCCATAGACTGCAGAACCCATCCAGAAAGGAGAAGCAGGCACGGTCAAGTGAGAAGAGAGTGGCTGGGGAAACCCAACAAGGGAACCGGAGAGTAAGGGGGTCAGAGGCAAAAGAACGCCCTGAGCCCCAAGAGGAACAAAAGTCTGCAGACGCAAAAAGAGAAAATTCTGCAGAATCCCTGTGACCAGTTCAGCGAAACTCTGTTCTCCGATCTCTCCTTTATTCCCGGAACATTTTAATGATGCTCCCTTTCTGTTCCTCAATACCACCCTCTTCAACTCACCTTTTCATTCTATCCCACTCACTCATCCAGCCGTCCTTCTATTTATCAAACATATGTTTAGTGAATGGCCACTGTAAGCTGGGCATTGTGATATGCTTTGAAGCTATGCGATAAATAAGAGAAAATCCTTGTCCTCAAGAACTCACATAGTTGGGACATCTCTGGTGATTCAGTGGTTAAGACTCCACGCTTCCACTGGAGGAGGAGCAGGTTCAATCCCTGGTAGGGGAACTAAGATCCCACATGCCACACGGCAAGGCCAAAATGTTTAAAAAATTGAAAAATAAAATAATTCTAGCTCAAATTTCTTTTTCTGACCATCTCACGTGTTCCCCAAGGTTCCTGCCTAGACCTTCTCGTCCCACCTGCACCCAGAGCTCCGGCTGTCTACCTGGCTGTTTCATCTGGTACCCTGCAGACGTATCACACTCAGGAGGCCAAGCTCCAGGTGTTCATCAGATACTCATGGGCCTCCAAACCAGAAGATGTCTCATTATCAACGGAGAAACTCCTAAGTCATCCATCACCTTCCCTGTCTTTCACCACATAGATCCACAACCGGATGGCAATTCTTAACAATACCATCTCCTAAAAACTTCTCAGAATGGCTCTCTCCTATCTGTTCTTTCTAACTCTGCATTAATTTCAGGCCATCATTACCCTGAAATAGCCTTCTAACTATCCAATATCTTCCCCTTCCAGTCCACCATTATTATTGATAGCATATATATCTTTTCAAAAGGCAAATTGTATTTATTTCCTCCCTCATGAAGATCCACCACTGCTCTCTACCCATACGTTTTACTCCCGCGTTGTGGACCTCTCGATTTCCTCTTCATCTCCTACCGCTATGCTGGCTAAACAGAATTCTTATACCTCCCAACTCAAGAAGTTTTGGCCATGCTGTATGCCGTTCTTGGCCCAAGATGCCTCAACCCTTTTTTCCATCTGACAAATACTGACACATTTTTTAAGGCATCAGTTCAGCTACTCAGTCATGTTCAACTGACCCCATGGACTGCAGCACACCAGGCTTCCTGGTCCATCGCCAACTCCTGGAGCTTGCTCAAACTCATGTCCATCAAGTCAGTGATGCCATCCAACCAACTCAACCTCTGTCGTCCCTTCTCCTCCACCTTCTGTCTTTCCCAGCATCAGGGTCTTTTCCAGTGAGTCAGTTCTTCGCATCAGGTGGCCAAACTATTGGAGCTTCAGCTTCAGCATCAGTCTCTCCAATGAATATTCAGGGCTGATTTCCTTCAGGATGGACAGGTTTGATCTCCTTGCAGTCCATGCAGGATCTTAATTCTCCAAGCTGGGATTGAACCCATGCCCCCCGCACTGGGATCGCAGAGTCTTAACCACTGGAGTGCCAGGGAAGTCCCCGACACCTTTCTAAATAAGCTCAGGCACTACTGGCTCTGTAAAGACTTTCCCGTCTCCTCCAAACAAAACTGCCTCAATTTTCCACTGAGCTCCATGTTTACAGTGTGCCTCTATTAAGGAAGAATCACATCTGTTTTCTATTCACTTAGACATCTATACAATATTTGTTTAGTTATCGTCTTCAACATTGGAGTGACAACCTAAACCCACAGAGTTAGGAACCATGCACTTTTCATTTGTCAGTGCCCTGGACCCAGCATAATGGTCACAAGTCTTAACTGAAAGAATAAATAAGTCACAGAATAATAAATGGAAAAAGAAAAATGTTTCTGAAAAAAGTTACATGAATACTAGGATACAACATGTACTGCAGAAAGAAGACTGAAAGGATGCAGACTGAGGGATGGAATGTAAGTCAAAGAAGAAAGGGGGAAGGTGTTAGGAAAAAACTTACACTTGGCCAGCAAGGCATCCGATCAAAAAATCTCCCAGAGTATATGGGTCTGACGCGCTCTGGAGGTTCTACTCCTGGTTCAGCGTCCCTTTGCTCCTCAGGTTGTCGGGCCAGCTGGCACTCAGAAGGTTCTATCACCAAGCCCATTGGAGGCTCTGGAGGCTCCGTTTCAGCCAGCTCCCCTGGGCGGGCGAGCCCCATGTCCACCTCCACAGGACGCTCCGTCTCTGCACTGGGCTTCATCACCACACAGGTGGACTCTCCTCCCAGTTCCCCTCTACCCTCCATCCCCAGAGCCGGCAGCTTGCCCACCGACGCCCCGAACCCTTCAGGGTCACCAGTCACAGGACATCTCCTGCCCCCTGAAGCCTGTGGACTTCCACACTCCCGGCCCAGCGGAGGCTGTGTTACCCTTCCAGGACAAGACCCTGCCAGAAAACGCTCCTTTTCTAAACCCACTCTTCCGGGCAAGGCACCCAGAGGAGGTTTTGTTTCCTTTGAGGCGGAGATCCTGTTGTCTCCTAAATTACTCCCATCCATGAAAGTCCTAGAAATATTCTGTCTTTTCAATCTCAGTTCAAGCCCCTTGCACGAAGGAGATCTTATTTCTGGTGATGCCATCCTCTCCTCATGTGTCTTACTACATGGGAAATCTTTTCCTAAGCCCACCCTGAGCCCCAGCTCCGTGGGAGATGTTGTTCCCGTGATGATTCTCCTCTCTTCCAAGTCATTCTTTCCTTCCGGGGCGAGTTCCACCTCCATGCTCAGGGGAGATTTCCTCCCAGACACCGCCATTCCCGGTCCAAGGGCACTCATCTCTGAGGGGTAAGCTGTACCGGGCTGAAGGGGAGCTCCTAACCTCTTGGAGGGCCCCAACCCTTTGGGGGACGGCACTCTCAGAAAAGAGCACATCTCCACCCTGAGTCCCTGCCCCTTCAACACCTAGCGGGGTTCACAGGAAAGAGGAGACGAGGTCTGTTTACCCGGTTACCTGGGAAACGGGGGCGGGGCTTGGAGCGGAGCGCTGCGCGCGAGCCACGCCCATCTCTTCCCTCCTCTATCTCCTCTTTCTTCCTCCCTTATCCTTGCCTACTCTCTTACCCTCTCCTTCCACCCGTCTTCAGTAGGCTGGAGGGCAAGAAAATTACTTGAAATACGTGGTTCTGGGCTCTAGAGCAAATGATGCCCAACTTCTCTTTAGTTTCCCAAACAAGGCGGTCCACTCAGAGTGTGTTCGGCCAGGGGCCTCCTCCCTGCTGTGGGCCTGTTAACTTCACCGGTGTTCAAGGAATAAATAACCCTCTCTCTGGTGGTGAGCACCAGTTTTTCGTCCTGGCTTGTGAAAGTACCTGCAAACTGCATCTCTTTCAGTGCTTAAGAACTCCTTTTAAAAAATCTGTGAAGTTATGTTTGGCAGCTGCGGTAAGGACCATCTTAAAAGTGTGACTTACACGTCAGTAACTATACTTTAAAGAGCATGTCAAGTAAATATATTAAAGCTTGGAATGAGTTATACAGTAGCGCCTGATGGATTTTTACATTTCTTTAGCGATCTTTGGCTGTGCTGGGTCTCCGTCGAGCACGGCCTTTCTCCAGGTGCAGTGAGCGGGGTCTACTGTCCAGTGGCAATGCGAGGGCATCTCACTGCGAGGGCGTCTCTTGCAGCAGAGCACGGGCTCCAGGGCTCAGCACTTGCGGCTCAGGCTCAGCCTCCCAGAGGCGCGTAGGATCTTCCTGGATCGGGGATCGAACCGGTGTCATCTGCAATGGCAGATGGACTCCCAACCACTGGACCACCAGAGAAGCCCCAAATATTGGATTTTTAAAATAATGTGGCAGACTCAAACTTACGTATGGGATTTTCTTTAAACTCTTTCAAGTTTTAATGAATGTGTATTTGAATATTTGTCATGTTCTACATAAATTGGGGGCTTCCCTGGTGGCTCTGCTGGTAAGAATCTGCCCACAATTCAAGAGACCTGGGTTCGATCCTTGGGTCGAGAAGATCCTCTGGAGAAGGAAATGGCAACCTACTCCAGTACTTTTGCCTGGGAAATCCGATGGACAGAAGAGCCTGGTGCACTACAGTCCACGGGGTCCCAAAGGAATCGAACATGACTTTTCAACTAAACAACCACAATTCAGTTCAGTTCAGTTCAGTCCATCAGTTATGTCCTACTGTTTGCAACCCCATGAACCGCAGCACGCCAGGCCTCCCTGTCCATCACCAACTCCTGGAATTCACCCAGACTCATGTCCATTGAGTCGGTGATGCCATCCAGCCATCTCATCCTCTGTCGTCCCCTTCTTCTCCTGCCCTCAATCTTTCCCAGCATCAGGGTCTTTTCCAATGAGTTAGCTCTTCACATCAGGTGGCCAAAATGTTGGAGTTTCAGCTTCAGCATCATTCCTTCCAATGAACACCCAGGACTGATCTCCTT